GAAAGGAGCAGCCGCTCCAGGCGCTAAGTCCTAGGGGCTGCCTCAGTGGTAAAGAAAATTAAAGGGTATAAATTTGGGGCAACCAAGGGAAGTGGCGTAGAGAGGGGTGCAAGGGGGTGTATCAAGCACCGGGCGCCACTCGCAGAGGGGCGCCCAAATGGTCTCCAAGACAAACTATATGTGTTTCTGGAGGGGGCGCCAATAAAGTGTCGTGCCCCGAGCGCCAGTTATGTTCGCTACGCTACTGACCAAGTGGGCGCCATAATAGGATCTCGCTCCATCCTAAAACTTGCCTCGGCCGGCACTGCCCATGATGCCAGTCCTCAGTCAACTTCTGTTCTGTATTACACATTAGCCAATTTTGAGTGATGTTCTAACATAGTTTCTTATAATTGGACGTATGCATGATTACAGATTTTTCATTTTCTTTCATTCTTCTATCTTGTTCATAGATTCGTTGTTCTTTCGTTGAATGTACATTTCTGCCGGATGTAGACTGTCGTTTCTATCTTTTGAAAAACTTTCTTTACTAATTTGAAATGCGTATCAACTAAAAAAGAATAAATAAAGGATAAAAAGCTGCCTAGTATCTGATTGAATGCACTTTATCGTGCTTGTGAAACAAAGACATAGACACGGTTTCAAATTAGTAAAGTACTGTTGTCTATATCTGCCACTTGATTGTATGATTTAATATTTACAACGTTATACAGTATTTCGATTCAATTTTGTGTGTTATCAAGGGTTATTTTTATTTAAGAATACACAATAAGAAATAAGAAACATTTAATCTCATTATGCATATGTAAGTTGAGAAAATATACCTGTTTTGTCCATTTGAATGTGATAGATTTCTAGTGCTTATGTAATTCATGTTCCTTTTGAATACATCATTAGAAAACGAAAGGAATGGGGCTAGACTATGGAGGACCACTGGTTAATGTTATAATTTCACCTTTTATGTTGAGCCTTTTACATTGCTGTCGTGCTAGTCTGGGAAGCCATCTCGTACGACAAACTTCTAGTAGTAGTGTGAGGGACATTGACTGCATAGAGACGATACTTTCAGGAAATTCTGCACTCTCATGAATTACCTTTAATGGAAGAGCTGCAAACAGCTATTTTACAGTAAGATAACGCTCAGTCTCTGTCACGCTGCCACATTTTTTGGTCTGCTCGGTCTCGGATTTGTCATCATCGAACATTTGTGGGAGTAGCTTTGGCCATCTACGAATATGAGTGAGCTGGCACGGAAGTTGCAATTTTCATGGGCAAATGCAGCGTACAGTTGGGCATGAAGTCTTCGGTGCCAGTATGCCTTCATGTCCTACTGTATCGCTGCCACAAGGCAGGAGGAAATCTTACAAGGTATTAAAGGTCGCTTTAAATTACAGTAGAACCTCGATTATACAGACCTCTATTATCCGGATTGTTCAAAAACAAAAATTTTACGAATTTGCTGATTTGCACTTGGCGAATTACGATATTGTTTATGTACGTGATGGAATCATAACTTTTTTGTTTCAACAATGTCTCACCCGGCACAGTGGTCGTAAACCCTTAAATATATTTTGCGTCGTAATAAAAATATAACTTGACATACGTATTTATAAATAACTTATATTCAAATTACATCATTTCTATGACCAAGGGCGGCGTAAGGCATGGGCAACGTGGGCCACCGCCTGTGTCTCGAGGTCCGAAGGGCATCGCGCCTCGACGGTTATACATTACTTAAAAGCCGTGAACGCGACGAAAAACTTTTACTCGTCATAAAACGATAAATAGTTTGTCAAATTTTTATTCATAAAAATGCAGTTTCAAGTGCTTTTTATTTTATAAAATCCGTCTTCTTTCGCCACCAGAGGGCCTTTTAAACAACAGGGTAGTCTGTTAGCGCTGGTCAGTAGTAGTCCAAATTTAATACGAACGTTTGTTTCTTGAAAATTTGATCACGATTTAAATACAGTATTTTTAATATTACCGATATGTCATCGAAAAGAAAACGTGTTGTATTATCATAAAAGGACAAATTAAAGTATTTGTTTCGATTATCCGAATTTTTTCTTATCCGGACTACCTTCATCACCAATTAGTCCGCATAATCGAGATTCTACTGTATATCATTGTTGCACAGGAAAATGTTTTTTTTTTTTTTTCTCAGGTAGCTGAGGACAATTGTTGAGCGAGTATGACGACATCGACGATTGATTTTTGTTAAAATTCGGAGTATCACACTTATAACTTTGTACACAATGTGTGTTTTTTTGTGTGATTTTTTATTGGCAATAAATTAATTAATAAGTGATGTATAAAATATTTTTAGTGATATACTCGTAGGCCTACATACCAGTATATGTTTTGTAGTTTCAATAATTTAATGAAATAATTATGATTGATAAAGGTATCTTAAACACTGCATAGCGGAGATATCAGAAAGTTATCATACTGTTACAGAGGACATCAAAATGACACTTCTATAATTTGAATGCAACTTTATTTCTGGTATGCATTTCGGTCCTTAAGATCCTCTTCAGCCATGAATAAATGAATATCTATTTTAAATCTGCACTTTAGTATAATATTCATTAGTACCGGTAATTACATAGTAAATTAGTTCAGGGCAGGTACAATCTGCATTCATTCAGCAGCGATTTATGGAATAATAACCGTAATTTTCCAAAAATATTTTCTTAATTAAAATTCACTCTTTCATTTATATTGTGTCGTGTCTTCTATTTCTATACTAATGATGGATTAGCGGTCACATAAAGTGAAAATTTTATTAAAAATATGCATTAAAAATTTTTACCCACTGGCTGGCCGCACGAAGTTTTCGGGGTTTCTTCATGTGTCTAACATCTAAATAGGGGCCAATTTTCCATAGAAAGTCTTCCCAGGTGGCACCCTTGAGACCACCCTTGTTATTTTTATTTTATTCCATCACTCCAATCCAGTCCACGATGCACTAAATCAACGAAAACCATAGAGAAGAGTCAGAAAGTTCAAATGCCCTTGCGCATAGGATCATCGAATACGTCTCCTAATTGAGACTTGTTCAATCATTGGCGTAGCGTAGTGGGGGCGGCAGGGGCGGCCCGCCCCGGGCGGCCCTTTTAGGGGGCGGCAAAATTTCACAATAAATAATAATAATATCTTGTAAAAATTTGAACCATTTCATTTCATATTTTTGTCGCACCTACGATTCGGACCAATTGAAATGAGCTGTGACTTATTCTGTGACGAAACTGAATTTTAGTTTTTTAAATTGAGATACTTAAATAACGGGCGGCTGACACTCACACTACGCTACTGTGTTCAATAACTGTTCCGCCATTAACAAATTAGCCTTAATGACGGAACAATTTATTAAACAAGTTTTCATATTTGTAAAACAGCACGCATCATATTTGTATAACAGCCTAGTTCAAACTTCGTCAACCACTCCTAAGTTCTGGTATGCTTCAAGTTCCCGCTGTCTGACTTTCTGAAGTTTCTCGTATAGTTTATGGAAACTTCCAAGTGCGGAAGGATTCTGTCCAACTCAAGTTCGAGTAAATAACAAACACAAATAATAAAAGCTTTTCGTTATTTCTGTCCTAAGCCTGGCATTCCTTCTTCGTTAAAAAATCGAGGGAGGAATCGAAAATTCTGAAACATCGAAAATCTCTCGAATTTTGTTCGGACACTTTATTCTAAAAACAACTTCGTGCTTCGCGCTGGAGGTTGAAAACGTAAACGTTTTACAAATTCCAAAATATTGAATTCTAAACAATTCTAACATAATTCTTCCTTCCTTCATCAAATAAATTTAAAAGGGAGAGATCCTAAACTGTAGCTCATATTATAAATCTAATCCTGAATAAAATGAACAAAATTGCACTCAGTTTCAGCGATATTTTACGATGGATTTAAAAAAAAAACAGTATTATGTTTCAACAAAGCCGGATTCAAGGGAGATAAAAATAAAAAAAAATTAAAATTTATTCGAACTTTAAATGTTGTTTCAAAAACATTTATGATGGCAAATATGATTTATCGGACCATCCGCAATACATTATTATTATCAATTATTCAAATATTTTTAACTTTGAACTAGTCCTTTGGATTCTTGTGGATCCCCTTCTGTGTTTCAATATATATCATATCTAATTATTATATATAATTTAATTATTATGCAAAAGATGTAGTGTATTAAAGTCTTCTTAAAAATTTTATAAAATTACCAAAGCACGTAGACGATAATAGGTAAAAATCAAATTATTTACAGCGAGATTTTTTCTATGGTTACTGAATAATAATCCTTCTACTGTAAATAATATACTTTTAATAATATTGTATTTGCTTAAGTGTTAATCCCAAAAACAACACACAATAAATTTCTTCACACACGAATTGAATTCACGATAAGCAATTTCAAAAGAAAGATTCATAAAATTCTCCAACGTTTACGGAGATTTTCAAATTATGTTTACATCGTGAATTTACTTCGATTTTTTCCTTGTTTTTAAACATTTAATTTATATTTTTGCAAGGTAAAAATAGAAGGAAAAAAAAAACAATTTAAATATAAAATAGATCGACAATCTCATTAAACCATTGTTTAACTTTAAAAACTAGTTTAATATTCGCGCAAAATTTCCGATACAGATCTGACCAAAGAAAAACTATAATTAATGTTAATTTTATCGATGTAGGCTACAAGAAAAATAAACTACCACAATCTATCATAATAGATTTCCAATTATTTCTGACATAATAAAAAAAAATAAGCGAACATTCACATAAAAATAACTTTTCTAATGATTGATAAAGACAAATTACGTCATATTTACGCAGTCGCGCGAGCGTAACTAATCGCTAATATCTCACTTATTGAAAAAAAAAATTAATAAACAAATACTGTAAATCGTATTTGTATATATAATAAATATTCGAACTCGGTATAATAAAATAAGTATTTACGCTCCGGGAAGCGCAGACGCACGAGTAGTGAAAGCACGTGAGGTGGCAGACGAACTACTACCACCCGTAGTTATCCTTCCCATAATTCCCATCAGACGTGCTGAATATGTCGACTGACTTAATACAATGGCTCTGACCGCTCTCGGTCTGGGCAGCCAAAGCAGTACACAGTTAACTAGGACGTTAGAAAAAGTATTCGAAGATGCACAGTTAACTGGTGAACTTAAACTCAGCGGAAGGAAATTAAGGGAATATCCGAAATTAGCCAGTGAATACGATTTGTGCGATACGGTAGCTGCAGGTAAGTCGAGCTAGGGCGGTGACATTTAAAAAGAACTGACATTCTCTTTAAAATTCCGTTACCTTTAACAGAAACTAGATCGGCTTACAAGTGAAAGTTTTTATTCCGTTTATTTTTTTTTCTTTCGTTATTGTTATGAAGTTTGCCATTGATTACAGTTATTCCTTCCGTCGTCCAGGTGAATTAGATGAGTCTTTGTTGAAATCTTTTGCAATAGGGAATATGTGAAGGGTAAATTAAACACTCCTCATACTGTTTAATGTAGAAATATTCCTGCTTTGCATATTTTAAAGTAGTTCTTGAGATTTTTTAGTTTTGCATCATTAAATTACTACACAAACATAATGTTGGCTAATCTAATGAGTAGGATTGATAAATGACATGAAAAATGTATATTCTTTTTATATTTTACAGTACAGACCTACATATATAGCATATATTTAATATATATATTTCTTTAGTTTAATATATATATTCTTTATTAAATATATATTTAATATATATNATTTAAATTGTTATTGAATCAATTTTTACAATCTAATGTAAATAATTGTTTATAATTTTTATGCCTTGTGAAAAATGTAATTTTTTGACATTTTAGATAACTCAAAATTTCTTTTATTTCTAGTAAAAAATTGAATTAAGTTTTATTATTATTATTTTAACAAATATTCATACACAAAATTGTAATATTTATTTAATGCATATTTTGGAATATATTAAAATTGTTCGGCACTTATTAACTAATGCAAAGACAGGAGCGTGATATAGATTTTTTAGCTTCTCATGGAATATGATTTATTTGAATTAATAGAAAGATACAATAGTGATTAATTTGAAAATGGAGTGATATAACTAATAATTAATGAATACTGTACTTTTAGATTAAATATTAAAAACTATTTGAATTTTTAATTCTATGTAAATTATTTAGTACCATATAAATTTCAATATTGATTATTATTCAAAGAATAGATATTTTTCTGATTAATATGAATTAAAATGCCATTTAAAAAAAGATGCTTCATATATAATTTAAAATATGTATTCATTTAAATTATATTGATAAAAATATATTTAATTGATGACAAACAAATTAGAATTTCAATTTTAAATTCAATTCCAAATTATTTAAAAAATAAAATATTTACAAAGTTAACAAATGATTTAAAGAAAACATTTTTAGGAATATATTACTTTTAACACAACAAATACTTTAGATTATATTTTCTTTTTCATTGCTGGAAAATATTTTAAAAATTGTTTTACAATATGCTGCTTTATTATGATTTTTATGATTACTATAAAATATTTTTTGAATTTATAAAGCAAATCTAATAGATATTAACAATAATAGAAAATACAACAATCATTATTATTGCTTGATTTATCATAATAAAAGATTAGAAAAATTACATTTTTCTATTTTAATTTCAATTAAAATTCAATTTATAAGGAAGATAATCTTCCTTATAAATTGTTTTAAAATTTAACAATCATACTTATAAAAGCCTGTAATAATTATACATGATTAATTTATTATAAAATTTAGAACACTATGAACTAAAATTATTCAAGTTTTTACTTTATTTTATGATTAAATATTTCCATATACTAGTTATTAGTTTCTCTTCACTGCATCAAATAACATTTGATTAATAACCATTGACAAATTTTTTTTTTTTTTATTAATAAAAGATGTTTACTTTGTGTTTATGTATACTGTATACTAGTATTTGTGATTTAGGTCCAAACCATAAATTTGACTTATTTATTAAGACAGTAAAAAATTGCTTTCAAGTATTTATTCATTTGTTAAAAAGCAATTAGTTTCTCTAAAATGACTTATGAGTTTTTTATTGTAATTAAAAATGCAAACATATATTAAGTTCTCAAAAATAAAGAATGGAACAGTTGTTAATCTCTGATTCAAAATATTAATTTTGTTTTAATAATAATCTTTTCTAGCAAATCTATTAAAAATTTTTCTAATTAAAAAAAATTGAAACGTTATCATTTAAAAATATTAGATTTAAAATTGTGATTTAGATTTATTGGAAAAAAGTAATATATAGTTATTTCAGCTTTTATCATAATTACTGATATTCATATTTACTTAATAGTATATTCATAACGACATATTTATTATGTTATTTTAGATATGGATTCTAATGTAATTAAAAATACAAGAGTATTATTTTCAATAATTTGAAAGGAACATTCTTATATAAATATAAAAACTAACAGTATAAAATTCAAAATTATATTTACAAAAGAAAGATTATTCGATATAATTTCGGTAATATTTAATAAGAGTAGTATGTCAATAGTGATAAATTTACAAGCATTGATCAAATAAAGTAGTTTGTTACTATAGTTACGTTATACATGGGTAGGTTGAAATTCACGTGAAGTGTCAGCGTGTAATCATTTGTTGACTCACAATGCGTTTCGGAAAAATTAACATTTTTTTCTTAAATGTGATTTTTTTTTTCCATTTCAACAGGAATACGAGTAAATAAATCTTCGCAACGTCCGGTGTTTTGATGAAATATCCGGTTAAATTTCCCGTAAAATTTTATTAAATTATTTTGTCGTAATGGTAAAGTTGTGAAATGCAAAAAAATTTTATTTGTTAGATATCAATATTCATATATTATAGTAATATTTCTATACAAATACATAATAGTAATTATATTTGTGTTTATCAGTTCGAATTATCACACGAATACAGATAATCGTACTATAATATTTTTTTGTTAAATTGATAATTTGAAACACATTTTTCAACTTTAGTTGCTTTTAATATTTTAATTTCCTAATAAAAATAAGGTTTTCTTTATCGTAAATTATTCCGGGTGTGATTCATTCTATTTTTATAATTAACGCATGTTCATTTTCACATGTGACAATAAATTATCTTTTAAATTTGATATTCTGTATTTTCAAGACATTCGAAACTTCTTTTTATATTTGCAGTAACGTATTTTCATTTATAAATAGCGAAGGAAATTTATTATTGTATTTAATTTCATATTTTAAAAAATTCATTATAATTATATTAATTATAACATATATCACTAAAAGAATTTTTCAACATTTCCTATCAGAAATTTTTAATAAAATCACTTGCTAAATTGATAAATTGCTCAATTATTTAATAAATAAAGATAAATCGCTTGAACGCATTGTTAAGTTTAATTTAGAAGTATTGCATCAATGATTTCTTTATTATTAAATAGGTAAAGTGTCATATCATTAGAACAGGTATATTCAAGATAAAGATACTGTTTTTTGCCGATAATACTAGCCTAATATCAATACTGGATGACAAAAATATCTTAATATACTGTTTAAATATTTAAATGCGTAATGAGATTTTTGCTATTCAAGCTGTATTCTATTTTTGAAATAAGTTGAAAGGAATCGAAATATAGCCTTGAACAACATAAAAAAAAAAAACAGGAAGTTTGTATATTTCATAGTAACACAGTAGCTCTCTAACTTGTAGTACGTTTATGCAAGAGATAATTTGCGATTTTGAATATTAAAAATGAGTAAATTTGATTGGAGTTATAATATTTTTCTTAATTTGTAGAAATGGAGAATATTTGTCGTCACGGGTAAAAAAAAGCTGCTTCGATTTGCATAAATTATAATCAGATAATAGAATAAATAAAAAATTATAAATATATTCAAGGATCTTTGCACAAGTTTGATTTTCATGTACTGTACTTTTATAGATTTTTTTTTATTTCCAATATATTTTTTACGTAATATTTCTTTAATTTCAATAAAATTATTGATAAAACATTAATTTGAAGATCTAACTGAAAAAACAAAAGCTTTTTATTTGATTTTTTTAAAAATTTCTTTTTCATAGTTTTATTCACTTTGCAATTTAATTCCGGAATGGAGAAAAAGTATTTAAAAATTTCCGCAAAAGTAAATTTTCAGAATTTTTGAAGGTTGTTGTTATTGTTTGGTCAGATGGACAAAATATAAAAACTATAAAAGATATTTATATTTCAGGATAAAAAGGTTAATGCAAAAGTTCGCCTTTGCACGAATAATGATTGTGAAGATAACGATGGTGAATTATTTGTAAACGACATGGAAATAGTGCAAAAGAAAGAAACATAAAGTAATGTTATGAAATTGTTTGCAGGGAATGGCCTTATGTTGATCACGCAAACAAACAATTATTCTTTCATTCAAAATGAAATGAATGCTTCAATTTTAGAACTTCTTATTAAAACAATTACAAAAAATTCGAGACGTATATATTTAAAAACGTTTGTATTGCCATTTATTGATATGTACAGTACAACTAAAAACTTTCGAGTGTTTTCATAAAAATCGACCAAGAACAAAACCATAAAGCAACTAGTAAACTTCTCCGGAAGAATTTCAAAAAGGAAAACGTTTTCTTAGATCTGGGAGTAAAAAATAAGACATTTGATAATGGACATAATAGAAAAAATAAATGGCTTAATGGATTTCAGTAAACTTTGCTTAATGATTCATTTTCAGTGTTTTTTCAGTTCTAAAATTTATCAAATACTGCTAATTTTTTGCGTTTTAAAAAGTAATTTGTTTTAAATATTTTATTCTAAATACATCTAAAATTTTTAGATCTAATAATAAACTCAAACTAGGCAATTTAAAAATTAACCGAATTAAAGTTGAAATTAATTTAGGAATTTGAAACTAAATTTTAATGTTTTTTGGTTTTCAGAAATAATTAAGTCTCCATTGTTTTTCTGTACACTAAGATATCCGATCTGTATATTTGATTACTAGTTCCTTCTTTCCAAATATATCTGCGATAATTATCTTTAATTCTTTACACTGTGCAAGCATAACTCTAAAAAATACAGTCGAATCCCTCTGTAGCGTTATTTAGGGGAACAAGGAAAAGTGTTGTTATAGTGAGAATTTTTAAAAATGTGTTCCCTTCCTCATTTTACTTTGTCTAATTACAAATAGGATTATTTCTACAAAGTTCG